TTTGTTAGGGCCCTGCCTGGATTGATGAGAATGATCCCAAGTCTTTCCCTCTCAAATATTTAAGATCCTTTCTGTTATGGGGGGGGGGGGGGGGGGGGGGTAACACGCTATCGAAAAACTAGACACAAAGTGAAATTTTAAGAAAACTGCCTGTGAATTTTTACCCTGTGAAAATGTGTGGGAAGGAAGAGCCTTGTGTCCTGCCCTGTCTAGTTCTGGTTGGGATTTGGCAGTTTTTTAAGTGGGGAACAATCCAGAATTCCAGCTCTGTCAGGAAAAAAGCAAAAGCAAACAAATGAAACAGATGACAAATCATTTTTCTAAGACCTGAAGCCAAACTGGCTCCAATAGCTACTGGAAATTTCTTGGAATAGTTACAAAATCATTTGTAAGGATAATATTTTCCAGACTTTTATAGCTAGAGCTAAGAGTAGACTTTTAAGATTGCAGACACCACAAAGTTAGCATGTATTCAAAAGGCAGTTACTGAGACCACCACCTTCCACCCTAACTCTACTCCCTGGCCCCATAAAAAGGCCTGATTTATGTACTGAAATGGGGGATAAGCTGTGGTCCTTGCCCTTCAAATATATACCACAATCTAACAAAGCCAACAGGTGAATATAGATAATCAGAACCTAATGAAATGTGCTCTGTGGGCAGTATTAGCAAACCACTTCATGAAGACAGAGATAAAAGATTAGCAAAACCTTCAAAGAGGAGATAACAATATTTCAGGATACATGCAGAAATAGAGGATGGGAGGAAAAGAGATTATTCAAATCAAGGGTTTTTGCATACTATGAGAAATGAATCTGAGGCCTGATCTATATAGGCTTGGAATGTGTCAATTAGAAATGTTTTCAGCTGAAAGTAACTGAATCCTTGACTAATAGAGGCTTAAACTATGGAGGTTTGTTTTCTCAAAATGCTGCGGTATGTGGTTACTGGCATTGATTCAGTGGCTCAAGATGTCATCTGGGAGGCAGGTTCTTTCCATTTTTCTGATCTGACATCTTTAACATGGTGGTTTTTCATCTTTGTACTTTTTACCTCATATTTGCAAGACTGTTGCCACAGATCCAGATTCCATTAACTATTGTTCTGAACAAGGGGAAAAAAAGAAGAAAGAGCTGAAAGGAGCTTTCCTTTAATCAGGGAAGAAAGTTTCCCAAGAGTTTTCCAGATTTTCCATTACATCTTATTGACCCAAATTGGGTCATGTGACCATCGTTAGAGGAAATGTTGGCAAAATATCTGGACAAAAAGAAAAGAGTGAAATGAAAGGCCCAGAAAAATTATAAACCATCCCCTGGGGCTGAGCATCTTGTGCTTTAAACAAAATCAGTGTTCTATCAGCCAGGAAGAAGAATTTAACAGCCATTAGTTGAGCAATTAACAATGACTGCAATCCTATTTTTGAACTTTAATCCAAGTTATAAGAAGAATTCTAGTGGGGGAAAAAAAGATGCCCAGATGATTCAATTCTACCTCTAGTTTTGTAGATTTATCCTGCCCTCTTAGGTTTTAAGAGAACTGTACAGCTAGCTATTCCTGAGAATGACAGGCTTTCAAAAACTGAAAACAGATTTAGATGGAACTGAATTTCTATAGTTTTGCAGATTTCAAAAGTTAAAAATTTTATTCATATAAAACCTCTCAACACATTTAACACATTTCCAACTTAATGGGGAAAACAACTGTCATCTCTTCTTAAGCCTTACAAAGCCATTCAATCATTCATGCCATGAACACTGAATATTTTAACAAAATAGAGAGTGCCTTGTTAGTCAACGCCTAGTTTGACCACTGGCCTCAGGTTGTGTTTCTAGTTAACAGGCTTGCAGACATGGCCCCTGCTTTAATGATGCTGAGAAAAAGCCCCTCTCCTCCCCTTTTACAGACTGTGTCTCTTCATTATGCCAGGTCTGGTAGTGTACACCTGTCATATAAGTCACTGGGACATGACTTTAATATTCCCACTTTGAATGAATCCCTCTTGCTCACTTCTGAGGTGGGAAGAGAAAAAGAGAAGGTACCTCTTTTTCTTACAGATTCAATAACATTCTTTCAGACTCTTATCTGACCAAGAGTCAGACTGATGCTATGTCTCACCTTCAATTTTCCCTGAAACAAATGAGAAAACAAGTACTTTTTTCCCTCCCCCTGAAGGACTCAAACTAAAGAAGAAATAAATAGCAAAGATGTAGAAGGAAAGCACAGGCTTGGGAAGGTAAAGAAAGAACTAGCAGGGAAGAGGTAACACTTGAAATGTGTGTTTATAGTTTCTTCTCACCCATCCCTTTTGGCACTCCATCCCATAATGACCAACAATAGGATTACTTCATGCTTTAAACCTTTTTGCTAATCTTTAGACCTTTGACACCAATCCCTCTCTATAGCCAGGGTCCTCCTCCTGTGTGATCAAAATAATCCGAAAAGAAAATTCATTTAAGGAGTTGATTGATGACTGAGAAAAAGTTTACTAGACATCAAGGAAACAAGCCTCAGAAGTTGCCTGGTCCAAATTAAGTGACAGAGAAAAGTAATACTGCTGGGTAACTTCAGCCAGTACAGGTACGCAGGTCCACCTGTGGAAGCCTGGATCTCCCTGGCCATGGGGAGGCTGGCATGTTATGTGACAAGAGCAGGAAACATCCTGTTGCCCACAGCCTGGGGTTTTCTGACAAGACTAGAATGTTATGTTTTGGATGCTTTGGGGGGTGAGGAGCAACAAACAACAAAAACAACAAAAATGAACAGGCGAGCTGTAGTAGCTTGTGTACTAGATAAAAAGTAAAAATTCATTGGGCGTGATGCCCCTGGCTGCGGACCAGACCTGTGTGTGTGTGTGTGTGTGTGTGTGTGTGTGTGTGTGTGTGTGTGTGTGTGTGTGTGTGTGTGTGTGCCGCGCGCGGGGCTCGACCTGTGTGTGTGTGTGTGTGTGTGTGTGTGTGTGTGTGTGTGTGTGTGTGTGTGTCTGTGTGTGCGTGTGCGCGCATGCATGTGATTACTGGGACTATCAGGTCTACAAGGGCAAAGGATAAAACTCAATATATTATTTCACTTAGGGCACATTTAAAGGAGGGAGAGGTGGGAAGAAAATGGAGGAGGCAATAGGAAATAGAAAATGAGTTCTGTCTCTTCCCTGTAGCCATAAGAGTCAAGTGATTTTACTCAGTTGTTAAGAAAAGATCAACTGTCCTGGATGTAAAGGCCCCATGTACAGAGGAACACCTCTTCCCACATCCATACAATTATCCTCCATACTTTCCTGCCTAAGAAATTCAGAGTTATATCAAAGTCACTGAACCTGGAGATGCTTCCTTCACAGCCCCCCATCTGACCAGCAGTCACCAATATGATGGAGTGTTCACAATCAAGGAGCATAGTTAGCAGAATGTGAGACCAGGCAGCAGAAGAAAGGCAAGAGGAACAGTGATGAAGAGTGGGGAGGGGCAGTCAGACATAAAGATTCCAAGGCTGAGAAGGAGGAGAACAGAGAGAGCTGAGACACGGAGGTGAAGGAGAGTGAGAGGTCACCAAAGAGCAAGAAAATGGTTACCAAATATTCTTTCCTCCAATTAAAGTCACTTGTTTTTCTTTCAATGTAAATAATACACATTCTTATTCACCATAGCTGTAAGTTTAAGGCCAGGCACTTCCCTTGCTACAGTCCTAGGATACATGCTATATCATGGCCAAGTTCCAGCATCTGCTTCCAGAAGTCACACACCATTCACTGTCATTCTCGTTTCTTTGTAGTTACCCTTTTCATACTGCACAACTATTACAAAGTGAACTGAGGATACAGCTTAAAACAGAAACACAGCCTCAACCCTGAAGTCTCCATATCTTAGCTTGAGGGAAATACCACATAGCCCCAGGATCCAAGTCCACCGTTCTGATCTCAGGGTCACCTCAGTCCCTGACACTTCTTTCCTTGCTAATTCCACAATAAAGATTTGCAGAGCTAACTAAAGCACTAACAGGAAAAGGCTATAAAAAGGAAGGCACAGGGTCAAGGCGATTAAGAGCAGTCTCCTGAGCTGACCTTTTTACTCATCACAACTTCTGTCCAGCCCTACAAAAAATATTCATTTCTTATTCATTTAAAAAAATTTTTTTCTTGGTCACTCATTTTTAGTTATCACAATTATCTATCTGAAAAATGAATATTGGGTAGATAAGCAGCAACAGGTCACGGTGTTAGGGAAGATAAAGTTTATCAGATATCTTAGCAAGGTCACAATTCAGAAATGAATGCTTTTGCCTTTGTGGAATAAAACATCATCTGTATAAAAATGATTTTGTGGCTCTGTCAAACTACTTTCTACTTGCACAAATAAAAACCAATCACAGAGAGAATTCAAAGGCAGCAAGAACACCAGGGCACCGCTCCCAGTGAGCATGGACCCTCTGGCCCTACCGAGAGGCTTCTTGACCAACCACCTCAAGGATAATGTGACATAAGCAAGCATAAGCAAGTAGATGAAGCCCCTTGAGAGTAAAGGAAATTGATTTTCATTAACTATGCATTGGCAGAGAACTTAGAAACTCAAGGATATGATAAAATATAACCAGAAGCAATTCTGCCACTATTAATAACTAAATCAAAGATTAGCCTAAAATTATCCACAAAGAGATGAATACTCAAGTTCAATAGGTAAATACTGTGTGACAATTGACCAATTTGGGTTTCATCATAAAAGACATGCTCATTCTAGAAAAAAAGTAAATTATAAAATCTGAGAGCAAAGAATAAAAGGATAAAATTCTAAATTAAATAACAAGTGACTAAACAGCAAATGACAGCAAAAAATAAACTAGGTATCAACTAACAACAATATTTACAGATCAAGAAAAAAGTTATAGCAGTAACCACAGAATTTATGAAAAAGATAACTAAACCAAAGATTTTATTCAGAAACAAGTAATAAAATGGGCTAAAATGCTCTGATAAAAAAACTGATAAGAACCCAACAGATTGAGACAATCAGTTATACTGCAACCTCAGTCTTTACTTGGTTGTACTAACTCTAAGATTTTATTAGTACAGAAAATAGCAATGAAACAACCATTATACTGCACTGTTTTTCAGTCTACATAAAGATTAAGATATAGCAGGGGGCAAATTAATGTTTAACACAATCAGTTCTGGTGGAAACTTACCATAGGCAGGATTTCTTCGGCATATAAATGGGCTAAACATGTTTTGGAATGGAGACATTCTATTTGGCTTTATTTATGATGCCAAGTTATCAATAAATAACTGATTAGTTAGAGGTAGAGACATATTCATTCTGATTGTCTTCAGGAACGCAAACACAGTTTCTTCGTGTTTGCTTAAAGGAGTATACTTTGCAGTGTGTCCCAATGATATCAAACTGGACTTCTCAATTCACCACAGCAAATTACTTATCTATTCATTCAAGCTATACATTCATTACTGTATTCTGCTTCTCAATAGTGATTTTACGTTTTATATAAAAGATAACTGCAGTTTGTTAAAAAGAAAATAAAAATAAAAAGGTAAATCATAGAAATGCACCTTTTCATCACTAAAATTTTACTAAACAATCTCATCAAATTTCAGTAGAATTTGTCTTTCCATATCGTAGTTGTTTAATGTCAATGAAAACAATAACTTAAGAATTAAAATGTTTTTTCTTTTAGCCTGACAAGGAAATATTATAAACATAATTTCTAAACAGAGAAAATGAGGTGCAAGTGGCAGTGCTTTCTACACTTCATTTTTAAAAGTAAAAACAGTACGAATCATCATTTTGATTTCAGTAAGCCAATACTTAAAACTTAATTTATTAATCAATTTTGAAGTCTGAAACCAAAACGATCCTTTAACAGTACTGGCTAAAAGACTAGTCGATTCTAAAAAAATCTCAATGTAAAATTTTGACCAAATTAGGGTGGTTCTCTCTGTTACCATGGTACCAGAGTCCATATTTTTGTTGGGTTTCAATTTGCCATAACAACCAAGGATCGGATTACATGTAAACAGAAGTATAAAAAGGCTTGATGAAATCAAATATGGAAGATTAAGCATTTTCAAAGTCTGGGTTATAATTCTTGCTGCAACACAAGTTCTACTGCATAATTAACTTACAATGACCTAAAGCTTTTCAGCAACAAAATTATATTTAAAAAATATATCATTATCCCTATATGTAACATCATCTGTAGATATCACAATCACATAAGCCTTTGATTAACTTAGGAAAGCATAACTTTTCCCTGAAAAACTTTAAAGAGTGATCATATTTCAATCACAGGTGTCCTGAACTAACTCATAATCAGTAGTGACTATATTTTGTCACTTCTTTATTCTAACGGGGGTAGAAATAGTGACAATACTTTTTTGAAAAGAGGCTAGAGAACCTGACTCCATTTCGTGACATAATGGACTTTTTTTAACAACTACTGGATTTTTATATTGCTTCTAGTTGTAAGGCATCCATTGTACAGGTGAAACAGTTGAGAGGGAACAAACTGCCAGACCTGCCAAATCTGCCAAAACTACTTTTGTTCCATAGAATTTTGATCCCTTCTAAGTTAATAATGGCATACAAACTTAGCTATGAAAAATTCAGTCCTTATAAATGAAAACAAACATAATAAACCTACAGAAGGTTTACAAGTAACTTCATTTGCTTTTAAATATTCAAGTGTAATGCTTCTGTAGAAGATTAAAACATACATTTCAACTTTATCAGATATGCCAATTTCCATTTGTACCTAACCTGCCATTAGTACATAGATTCACTGTGCTGTCAAATAAATAGCCCAGCTAATCATGGAGAGAGGTGAAGGTGTCAGTGGAAGAAGAGCATGGATACCACGGCATTTATCCAGTCTGAGACCCGTTTTCACATCCCTGAAGTAAGAATGGCCACTTTGTTCTACACTAAAGCAGCACTGTCTGTGCAGAGTTACTTCATATCCATAACATTTTACTACCCAAGTTACCAATTCAAAAGTTAAGAAAAAAAAAGAGAGAGACCAAATCCATGTACCCGTGATCCTTTGTATCCTAAAATATTCTTAGTTTTAACCAAGAATTACATTGGAATGAATTGAAAACATCTTTTAAAGTAATGTTAAGTATATTCTTATTTTTTACATAGATTATTTAATATTGCTTGTGGACATAATTTAATCAATAATATATCATAATATCAACCACTATGGTGATCTAGAATCAGATTCTGGCTACAAAGGGAGCTTAATTATTAAGCAACACCTTCCTAAAAAGCTTCTATAGTTCTGACTGGTAAGAAAAACAAACAAAAAAAGAGCATCTCTCATTGAAATAACACTGAAGCTCAAGCTCGGGCCCCCTTCTTTGTGTTCAACATAATTAACTCTTCAGAATAAAATAAAGAAACATTAAGACACATTAATAAATTACAGTCATCTTCAAGAAAACTTGATGGGTAACTCTGGTGTTACAGTCGTATATCTTGGATCCAATCTAGGGATAAAATCCTGAAAGTGTTTAGATGCACCAGTACCAAAAACATCAAGGGGTTTTCGGTTCATGACAGCAAATCTGTAAAACAGAGGACATAGTGAACATGTATTTAATGAAGTTTATAAAATATGGTGACTCACTCTATTTGACTTATCTTTCATGGGATGAGAAAACAGAAAAGGCTGACATGGCAAAAGACTCAATGGCAGATTCAAAAGTCACTTTGAGACTCTTCTACATGATTCAATGTTTCATATTTTCTTTAAAGAGATAGTAATCCCTTGACCTGAAAACTCAGAGATGATCATCATTATTTTAAAAACTCTTTCCAACAGTGTCAAATAGAAAAATACTTCACCACAATTTTTCTGATGAATGAAATCATAAGAAACATGAGCTAATATTTACCAATGAGGCAAAAGTATTAAATGTAATTTCTCTCATAATCAACATTTTAATGTCTCACAAGCAACAGAAAACACAAATATTGAATGATTAAAAGGCCTATAGGTTTTCAAATTTCTAACAGACACAACACTGTAAAAACACACCCTCATTTTGTCCATCACCTAACCTAGGAGTTATAAAATTTTTAAAAGACATATATTTAGCTAATGTGCAGGATGGACATTCTGTATCTCTGTGCCTGATCACAAGCATTCTCTCTCTGGAGAAGACAACAGAGTGAAATTAGGTTTGAGTCATTGGCCAGTATCATTATACCAAGAACCTTTTTAGTTCCTTTCTGAAGTGAGTCCCTCTCAAAAATAATCAACGGATTAAATTTATTAATGTACAAAAAACTAAATGACAAAAAAAGAATAAACAATTATATAATAATAATATAAAAGATACATAGTGTCATGGCTAAGAAGAATTCTGAAGCCAGACTGCCTGGCTCATATCCCAGCCCCATCGTTTACTAGCTGTGTGAGTCTAGAAAGCTAGCTAACATCTCTGTGCAGCTCAGATTCCTCATATGTAAAGCTGGGATGTTAACATTACCTATCTCATAAGTTATTTTAAGGATTAAACACATATGTATACATATAGGTGTTGTGTATGTATATATATGTGTGTTAGCTTAAATCACATAGGGTTTAAGCATATGGGACATAGTAAGCACTATACACTACTATTAATGATAGTGATAAAAATAGCAGATACAGTTTATTGAATTTCAGTACTAAGTGCTAAGTACTACTCAAAATATCTCGATTTTCCCACAACCAGACAAAGTATGTATTATTGTTTCATGGTAGAGAGGCTCGTGAGGCTAATGACACAGGCAAAGGTGTCAAAGCTGAAGTCAAATCTAGGTCTGTCCTTCTCCAAAGCCTCTGAGCCAAAGACTCCATGGTCTATGTATTAAGTCGAGCTGCCTCCCAAAGAATTAGATTAGGATCAAGAATTGCTAACAATAAAGAGCATGACAATGAAAGCAAAGGAGAGTATGCTTATAACATCAGGGAAAAAAATAAGATTATCTTTCCAAAAGGAAAATCAGTTAATTTTAGGGCATGATTTCTAATGAATATGCTTAATATTTTTAATCCAAAAGAAGAGATCAAAGATTTTAAAAGTGAGATTTAAGTATGTTATATAGCAACTAATTAGCAAGTTGCAAATCAACATGGTATTAATCTAAAACACTTAAAATATCTAAAATAATATAGGGAAAATAGTCAAAATAATGCTCACTAAAAGTATTCCCTCTGTAATTCTTATTAAGTTGGTTATATCTGATTTATATCTAGATACCTACTTTACTAATAAAAGACTTCCTTCAAGGAGACAAAAAGATTCAAAATCTTTTTAATGGAAATTACTTTTTTTCTATGACCAGTTAAAATATCTCAGTCACTTACTTGCCCTTGGTGAGCCTTAAAAGGAACTTCCAGTACGACGGTCGTAAGGTCTGAACTTCCATGACAGCCTAAGATGAAAGTATTCAGTTTGAGACTTCTTTTAGTAAAGAGCAAATATTATCAGCAGTCTTAGGCAACAGAGTAGTTTTAGCTCTATTTTTATTGCTCATTGTATTTTAAAAATGACAGTAATGAGAATAACAAAAACATGTATTTATGTTTTAGGTGATAACTATCAAGAATCTTTATAAATATGCCTTCAAATAAGAATGTAGCTTATGAAATAATAATTGAGTTAATTGTGTCATTATTCTTCAGAAGCATTTACTGAATACTTGTTACATAGCTGGCCCTTCACTAGTTAAGTGTTTATCAACCTGGCAGCACTACTGTAAGAAAGTACAAATAAAAGCTGTCCCCAAAACTTTGACCTAAAAAAAAAAAACCTCTGACCTAAAACCATTAACATTAATAATGATGATTAAAGAATTTAAAGAGATTGAACAATGCCTCTATTAAACTAGATTTTACCCCTGTCCTCACTGCCTGAGTAATATTATTCTTATTTATGTCCATGGTATCTTTTTTCTAAAAGAAATATAATTAAATTGGGTTATTCTAGCCAAGATACTAGAGTAGTAATTTACCAATAAAAACTGTACTCTATTAAAACTAAAAATTGTTGTGTTCATAAAACATGAACTGGCCCATTAAGTTAACATGTTTAATGATTTGAAACTTGCAAGCTATCTGGCTTTAAAAAAACAAACAAAAAAAACCACACATAAAATGTGGTCAATAGAAATGTTCCCAGGCCTTTATTTTTCCCCCATTGGTTTAATGCACATTAGAAACATAAATAAATCTATTATTTCAAAAAGTTATACTTACTGCCTGGAAGCAAATTGCTGTAGAGATGGAATAGATAATACTATCTGCATGGGGAAAATAGGGAACCTTTCCTGCTTCAATGCCTTTGAAATACATAGTCTGCAAAACAAGCAAATGCAAGATTTATTTTTAAAAAAAAAAAAAAACAACTTTAAATAGCATTAATGTAGTTGAGTGATATGCTCCCTATCTAAAATTATTTTTTCTACCTTTCAAAATCTTAACAATCCTTTCAGAGCTCAAATCACAGGGCACATTTTCCACAATAGCATTAAGTGTCAGTCCTTCCCTTTCCTTCATGCCCTCACCCGAAACCCCAGATGCCAGTAATAATTTTTCTATAAAATTCAATAGCACTTTATTTCTACCTCTTTCATGTCATTTATTCTTCAATGCTTTTTTGTACAATGCTCAGGTCTTTTCTTCCTTATCATAGCTCTTCATTCGTTCATTCATTAAACATTTAATTGTGTTAAATTAACTATATGCTGAGTACTATGCTAGGAGCAAGGGATTTGAAAATGAATAAAAATGGTTAGTGCATAACAAATAACTAATGTAGTCTAAAGAGGCTATGAGATATCTACATACATATAGATAGACAGATGATGGAGATGATAGATAGATGATAGATAGATAGATAGATAGATAGATAGATAGATAGATAGATAGATAGATAGATAAGATAGATCTTAAAGCCTCATTAGATGTGTGTGTGTATGAGAGAGACGGAGAGAGAGAAATTTTTTTTTCTCAGTGCAATTGGAAGCCATTGGATAGTTTTGAAGCATAGAAATAACATGATTTAATTCATGTTTTAAGAAGAACATTCTGGCTATTATATAGAGAATGGATTAGAGGCAAGACTGGAACCTGGGAAAAGTCAACTTGAAGAGGCTCTCTTGGCCAAAGATGGGGCAATTTGAGTAAAAAGACGGCAATGGGTTGAAACAAATCAAATATGTTAAAATCCATGACTTCATATGGCAATTGAAAATAAAGACTCATTAAGAAAAAAGGAAAATAAAGACCAACTTTGCGGGATGTTAGGGACTAATTTAGTCTGAACACTGGTAAATAAAGGGAAGCTCTCAAGCATTTTATAACTTTGTGAACAAACGATTTCACAGTAACCAGACAGTTGAAAAGAGAAAGTTCCTTTCAGAAAAATTCCCACTAATAAATGCAGAAGAAATAATAATATTAAATTATAACCATTTTGCAACCCTCGATGAAATAACTGCTGGTAAGGATCATTAATTGCTGCTAAAACAATTACGTAAAAGACTAATGGGGAACCTTATGTTGGCTTTATCGACCCTGAGCCGACCGATCAATCTAAGCATCACAAAAAGAGAGACAAGCAGACATTTTTGTGCTTCTTAATGCAACAGGAATTCCCACACAGTAACTATAAAGTATTTCTGCAATACCCCTCACCCCAAATTGAACCTGAATTTACTTAAGCCTTTAGACCAAATACCAGTTTGTAAGAAATACATGAGTTAAAGAAACATGTTAATACCACCAGTGAGGATGCAATCAGCAAAATCCAGAAAGTGTAAAATTCCATAGAAGTAATGACCTAGATCTTCAACAAATAAATGGAAAGGCAGGGGAAAAAAAGGAAGGGCAGGGAAGAAAAAGAAAGAGGGGGAGGGGATAACTATTACAAACTAAAAGAGACTTTGGATCCTGATTAAAACAAAAGCACTGCAAAAAGACATTTTTGAGACAATCAATGAAAATATAAGCTCTAATTGGATAAATGATAATATTAAACAAATACTAGGTTTTCCTTAATGTATGATAATGGCATTGTGGTTATCCTTTAGTGGTATTGTTGATTTGTTTGTTTTTAAGGTGTCTTTATCCTTCAGCTTTATTCTTTAAGGAGTCTTTATCCCAAGTTGTTTATGGATGAAGTTATATGATGTCTGGGATTTACCTTAAAATAATTCAGTACTTGGGAGGCCGGGGAAGTACAGATGAAATGAGACTGGCCTAATGCTGTCAACTGTTGAAGCTGTATGATAGGTACATGAGGGCTAATTACATTATTCTTTCTATATCTGTGTATATTTGAAAATAACACAAAGAAGACAAAATAGGGGAACTAAGTTTGTAATTACTTTTATAGGATTAGAATCTGCTTTTTTAAAATTAGGATATATATATATTTGTTGCTAAAGCTTTAAAAGCTCTATATCCTTGGGAACTGTACATAGATTAAAAATGTTTGCTTACCTCCACCAATTTGGAAGCTAAATACATGGATATTGTTGTACTTTTATAAAACATCATTGATACTCCCGCCAAAAATCCTGAAACAAAGAATGCAAAACTCATCAGATCTCAAAGTATTTGTTTGTTATTAAGTCATTTGGAAATGTTAACTCACTTAAGTAGAAAATAACTGATTTGTAGCACTGCCTTTTGTTACATCAAATTCAAGGACAGTAATATACTTAACAACATTAAAATGGAGTGAGTTCTTATCATATATTTTTAAATTTTAAAAAATGACCTACAGAGTTAGGAACACACAGTTCTGATACAGTTATTATAAGAAACTTTACATTCTAAATTTAACCTTAAAAAAATTGGTCTTGCCAAATATAATGAGTTTCAAAAATAATTTTTTAAAAACTATTTGTATCATCTTTAATTTTAAGTAGAACTATTTATCTATTCTAGCAGCTCAAATTATTATAGTGCTATCATCACATTTCTTTCCACAGTACTACCTTCATTCTATAAATGGAAAACCTAGGTGGGAGGAGGCCTGAAATACTAATAGGAGGAAAATTACTAATACCTGAAAAATTGTCTATTTAGTACATATATTGCACTTATAAAAAATGTTCTTTAGTTTTTATTTTTATAAAATTGTTCAGGTTCCCCCCAAATTAAAAAAAAATATTAAAATATATATCACCTGCCAGTGGTAAAAACAGAATTGTTTAAGAAATCTGATATAGCTGTACTTAAACTATCATCTAGTCACTTAGATAAGTTGCTTGGCACTAAGTGACTAGATACTATTTTAAGACTTCATGTTCCTTTGTGACACATTCTCTAGGATTTCTGGCCTGTAGCAGGGCAGATACCCAAGTCATTATTATTTCCAACTCAAAACACCAGATGGCAAGAGTACCTTGATATGTTAAACTTCACAAATACAAAATGTTTGGACTAGTGCCTCGGGAGGGATTCTATTACAGAGAAAGTATGATACATAGAAATCAGATGAATCTGGAAATGATTTCTGATTCATTTCTGCTACTGATTGTTGGAATAATAATAATTCTTTTTTTAATCATTGCTTTACCAGCTATTATAGCATGCAGCTCATCATCCAGGTTTCTGACCCAGCGCAGGAAGCAACTAGTACCCTGTATCAAGAAGAAAATAACAATGACTTCGATTGTTTCATTTCTAGGGGGACAAAAACGCACGTAAACGTCTGTAATGAGTGAGTAATAGCTGACCATAGAGGCAAACTGGTGATATTATCTAAATCTAAATGAATCCATGATTGGGAAATTTATAAATAATAATCTGTTATAAAGTTACTCTTTTGGATAGACACTATTAAGAAATCATCTATAATATTTTTATTGTAATATTGTAATATATGATTTTTTAAAGTGAATCCATAGATTCTACTTTTGTCTTCAGGTAGAATGCTGGGAAAAGTATCACTCCCACTCTAACAAGGAGAAAAAGCTGGATAAACTACAAATCTGTCAAGCCAGAATTCTATACCCAGGGATAAAATTTTTCAATATAAAGGTAAAATAAAGACTTTCTCAGAGAGACAAAAGCTGAGATAATTCTTCACCTGTAGACCTGTACTACCAAAAATATTAAAGGAATTCTGCAGGCAGAAGGAATATGATACCAGATAAAAATTTAGATCTGTAAAAAAAAAAAGGAAGAGCTCTGGAAATGGTAAAATAAGGTAAATTTATAAGACATGTTTTTCTTATTTTAACTGCTGTAAAAATGAATTTACTGTGTAAAGCAATGGTCCTAAAACTATGGCCCACAAGACAAATCTGGCCTGCCACCTGTTCTTATATGACTCGTAAGCTAAGAATGTTTTTCACACCTCTAAATGTATAAAAATAAACAAAATAATAATATTTTGTGTCACATGAAAATTATATAAAATTCTAATTACAGTATGATAAAGTTTTATTAGAACACAGCCATGCTCATTCATTTATGTATTGTCTGTGGCTGCTTTCACACTACAACAGAAGAGCTGACCAGCTATGACAGAGACCACAAACTTAAAATATTTACTATCTGGCACTTTACAGAAAAAGATTTCTGACTCTTGGTCCAAAACAAAAAAGGCAACAATGTACTGTGGGGCTTATAACATATGAAAAGATCAATGTACAGCACAAAGAATGGGAAGAAGAAATAAGTAGTGTTGTAAGATTCTTACACTACAATAAAGTGATACATTATTTAAAAACACTGATAAATTAAAAATGTTTATTATGTTAACACAATCACTAAATTTAAAAAAGATATAAAGAAGCCAATACTGAAGACAGAATATAAAAAAAAATACAAAAATTTCAAAAAGAAAATTAAAAATATATTTTAAAAAATCCAGGAGGCAGAAAAAGAAAAAAGAAAGAGGAACAATGAAAAAATGGAACAAATACAAAACAACTAGCAAGAAGGTAAATTTAACTCAACTATATCAATAAGTACATTAAATGTAAATAATCTAAACATACCAGTTAAAGACAGAGATTATCAAACAATAAAAAAGGAAAAACCAACTATGTGTGGTCTAAAAGAAACCAACCTTTATACTGAAGACATAGAAAAATTAAAGTGAAAGGATGGAAACAATATACTATCAAATATAATCAAAATAAAGCTAGAATAGCTACACTACTATTAGACACAGTGTACTTCAGAACAAGAACTATTATCGGGGATAAAGAGGAATAGTACAAAATGAAAAAAGGGTCAGTTCACCAAAAAGACACAGAACGAATAAGGTTTGTCCGTCTGTCCTCTTAATTACAATCTTATGATGGCATTGGAAATTTTTTTTTAAATTACATATGCCTTTGGAACACACTGTATGAATATTTTCTATAAGAGATTTTTCTGACACAGTTATATTTTCCTTAGTTTAATACCATTAGTTTGTACTACTTAAGCAAATAAATAGTAACAGAAAAACAAACAAACAAACAAACATGCTCTGAGATATGATGATGAAGAATAACCAACCTGGGCTAAAAACATTGGAGATAATCTACACGTAAACATTTAAGAGTTTACACTAAGAATAAATACAAACACGATGGCATGAGAAATGAAAAAGAATAAGAATATAAATATACAATTATCAATACTCTAACTATTAACTCTTGTATATGCAGAGATACTAGTAATGCTTCCTAGTCAAAACATTTTAAAACTGTTTTCAATATTAATAATATTTCATAGGAAGTGATTAAGTATAGTTTATCTGTAGTTTGTCACTCTTGTTCGCCTTTCCATACTACATACCTTCTCCATACTACATTTTATGAATGAACTTGTACATAAAATGACACATACCCATCTTACCCAAAATAATGCCAGAATTCAATTTTTCTAACATTAATTTTGAGTTTAACAACACTGTGTGTGTGTGCACGCATGTACCCACACTTACAGGTCAACCTTAGTTAACACATTTTGCTATTTAGAATCCATAGGGTAAAAGGGGTCAAATATGTGGTGACAGAAAGAAATCTAACTAGGGGCGGTGAACACAATGCAATATATAGATGTCTTACTATTGAACTGTGAACCTGAAACTTACTGGATTTCGTTAACTAATGTCACCATAACAAAAATAAATTAAAAAAAAATAAATAAAAACACACACACAAAAGAATTTATATTTAGATTGAGAATCTAAATTTTAGATGTTTAATAAAATATGTCAGTAGTATGATTTATATATTACTGATTCCCATTGATCAAGGGCCATTATTTAAAGCTACAGAGTATTGTGTCATGAATGATCCTTATAAATAAGTTTAGGTGTATGCTTATATATGTATGGGTACATTTACAGGAACATGCAGAAAGAGGTAGAAGAATGTTCACAATAGTTATTTGAGAGAGTGTAGCAGAAATAGTGAGTGAGAGGTAAAATTAGTTATTGATTATGTAAGTTATAACAAAATCCTTACTAATTCTATCAAGTGCTGACATCAGCTACAGTGGTCTGAAATATGTTTAAATTAAAACCAATGAGTAAATATGATTAAGAAAAACATACAGACCAGGCACATTAATATCACTTTTGATGTTAGAAATGTCAGAAAGTTCATATTTTCTCAGTGACTACCTTATAAAAAGAATTCTGAACATCTTTAATATTATGTATAAATCCAAGTATGTCTGTACCTTCAAGCATGTAAAATAAAATTTTAAAAGAAGAAATTTCCCCAACCTCAATCCCCAAGATATTGTGCATATTTAGTAATGTTAAGATATTTATGAAAACTAAAGAAGGAAGCATTTTTAAAAATTATGGACGAGTTAAGGCCCTATCTCATTCTAACAATAGCAGTGTCATTTATTTCTCAGTCTTCTTTCCTCTTCTGAAAGCCTTACCTTATATATACTAACAAAAGAGCCCAGAAAAGCTCCAAGCTGGAAGTTTTCTTTATTGTAGAAGAGGGAAAGCAGTCGGGATGGCTGTGTGAACAGATGCCTAAATGCAGAGGGAATTCGGAGGCAGCACTGAATTAAGTATCCCACGCTAAACATTCTGATGAAACCCTAGAGAAAATTAGGAAGAAATTCTAATCAGACTTCTGAATTTGACTGTAAATCATAACAAAAATTAATACAAGTTTATATCACAGCCATTTTCAAAATTAAATCTTAAGACTTCAATTTTTAAAATAAGGGTGAAATTCTGTGATGAATACATTTTCTTCGATTTACAAAGACTTGAAAGTTTCATTAAGTACTGGCCAAGCTTGTCTATACACCAAACTTCATTTCTTGACATTTTGTTGACAATAAGCAGGATTTATAATTCCTAAACTAAATCTGAATTTTTAGAAACAAAAGCACTGAAATTAAAAAAAAAAAAAAGTTAAGAAAACCAAATCCTTTTGTAAATTTTAATGGAAAACTCCTCTTACTCATCAGTATGAGTATGAATTATTTTGATGGAAAAATAATTTTATTTGCTTAGATCTTCAGTTACAACTTTTTAAATAATCAGGTTGACAGACTTTCACAGGAACAGATTAATATTCTAAGATTATCTTACATCCTAATTACATCTAGGTTTTTATTTCTATACTCAAATGTGTTAGGATAAAACATCTCTAGAGAACAGTAGTTTTAAACTACACTTAAAAAAACTTGAGAAAGCAAATCTGCTACAAATACATATTTGCTGCCGCCAACATTTCTCCATCTTACCTGCAACTATTTATAGTGCAAAAGGAAACAGAGAGGATGACTAGTGTTAGTCATTTTCATTTCAGCATTTAGGAAAATGAAGTTTAGATGTCACTTAATACTGGGAGACTGAAAAATTCCAATTAACACAAAATAAAATGTTATCAAAAATAACGGTATATTATACATGATTCAACCAATACATTGTGATACTGATCTCCCATCCTCCTCCTCTCTCACTCTACTGGGATGGGAAAATATCTACATTCTTAGCAGTGCTTGCCTACTAAGTTCCAAAGGTCAGGTTTGTATCTTCCAGATGGCAGTCTTCTTTTTTAGAAAAAATTGAATTACTATGGAGAAACATTCTATAATTTACCTGAAACTATCAATACCTGGTTAAAACATGAAAATTAAATTGTATAATAAATTAGTATGAATTTATGAATTCATATTAGTATGAAATATCATGTATTTGCTTAACTGAAACAGCCAAATATTTGTTTAATGCATGGAATGTTCATAATTTCACCTTTCCGTTGATAATTTTATAATATTAATCTAAGGATTCAAGGATCACACTCATGTTCAATCTTTTTCATGCTGTTTTCAAGAGGCCCATGCATTCCTCCATCCATTCACTCTGTCATCTATTCAGGAAATATTTCCTAGATGCCTCTTATGTGCCGAGCATTACAGTAGATGCTGGGGATAGAGATGATGAGGACACAAAGTTCTTGCCTTCATGGAGCTTTCTTCATTAGAGGAAGAGGAAATAAAAAAAGCATAAAAATATAAAATGATTACAGATTACAATAAGTGTTATGAAGGAAATAGGGTATTAGGAGAGAATTTAACAGGGCAACTTAGATTTAGTGGTAAGGGAAGGCTGTTGAGAATGTGACATTTAAATAGACACAAAAGAAAAAGAGTTAGCATGAGGAAAACATTTCAGATAGCTTGGACAGAAAGCACAAAGCCAAAAATGAGAATGACAGGTATGAGGAACCAATAAAAAGTTAATGTGAATAGAGTACAGTGAACAGAGGGGAAAGTAATTCATATAATTATTTACTCAGGGATATGATTTAACATGTGGTGTAACTGAGTCCATGGAATAATGAGATGCACTATCAGAATACCATATTTGTGGTATAAATTCCTCACTACCAGGTCTCCAAATTCTATATTCATAGACAAAATATTCAAATATTTACATAAATTACCAAGTTTATAGTACTGGTACACATTTGAAAGAATGACTAGATTTTTTTCATTGCTTAGGAATTCTCACTCACTTTCTCATATAATTTTTTAAATACCATATACTCTCTTCCCAAAATTTCTCAAATATTTCTGATTTAATCAGTTCCCCCCGTGAAGTCTCCCCCTTGAACTAGAATTACATCCAGTTGGATGGAATAATAACTCTCTGGGAACTGGCAGACTCTGAGGGTGCCAGCAATGATGATTTTTTGGGTTTGTTTTGTTTTGTTTTGTTTTTTGCCACTTTAAAAGTAGGGCTGGAAATCAGATTTGAAAGAAGTGTTAGCAGAAACCACTGTACAACTGAAAAAATATTATACTGCTTTTACTCCCATTCAGATCTTTGGAGACTCCAAAAGTAAAGTATTGGCTTGAGCAAATGCCACCGTTAACACTTGTCTGTAGGTGTTCACATTCGGAATCGCTAATGTGATACAGTCACTCCTTTCCATAATGACACCCAGGAGACTGTCTTTTGGGGTGCTTTACAACCCTGCTCTTATCATCGACTGAGTGGGGATCTAATGGTGTAAGAACATAAACTTTTTAAAGCATCAGAATTGTTAGAGTACCATCCAAAACTGAAGAATTTGTAGCAGGTGGTGCCATCTGTGCCAGATCAACTGAAATGAAAATAAGTTCCTTCCCAGAGTTGGTGGTGATGGGGGATAAAGGGATAGAAAGCATGGGGTGGGAGTGAGTAGGGAGAGACACACTAATACACTAATGTATTAGGGAGTAAGGAATTTATGCCAATGGGCATAGCTAACTCTTACTGTAGAGCAACTGTGAATATGCTCCAGTTATCTCCATGCCTTAAAAAATATAACAGCTTTACAAGTCCAAAACCAAATGCCACTGTATCAGATTATGCACAGTGTACGTGTGTTACTGCTGATCCACTAGCATACAACACAGTCCAAGGGCCTTGTTCTAGTATGTATTCTAATGAAGATACATACAATGTACAAATTTTAATGACTTTTTCTTTTTTGTTGTTTCTTCTCTTCTCCTTTTAAGTTTTACACTGATTTTTAGATAAGCAAATTTTTAAATTATTTAACTGAATCTGGTAAATAAATAGTAAGCTAAATTGTTATCTAGTTCAAATTTCTTATTTTTCAAGTCAAATGCAAAAAATTAATAGCAATTATTGTCAAATTTTCCATTTACTTTGAAATTAGGTTTTAATAAACATTTCTATACATATTTCCTATGGTTAATAAAGAAGATACTTTTATATACTTACTTTAATGCAATAAGAGATGCAATTATCTTCATAATGTTTGCAACATCTATGCCTTGGTCCATGCTTACATCTGAAATTAAACCAAAAACCTAATCATAGTTAAAATGTGTGTGTTTGTGCATGCATGCACATGCATGTGTGAGTAGATCTGCTATAACCTCTCTAACCAAAACAGGTGAAAATATTACCTACTCATTTCTAAATGTGTGCATTTTTTGGTTTCGTAGGACATACAGAAGCAAAGATAACAGGTTTTTTTTTCTTTGCTGATCATCATTTTGACACATTACATAAAATACATGACTGCAGTCAAAATACTTGAATGTGGAACAGAAAAATCATATTGGTAAATATTTGTGACTAAATATGAAAAATAAGTATATATTATCTTTTACTATGACAAATCTTTTGGGAGCTTTAAATCACTTATTGTAGAGTATAACAGCCGTAAATCATCCATGAAGTCGGTATTTGAGCAAAAATCATAATGAGAATGTGCTCAGGTTACAGGAATTTATACTTAATAATATCTGAGAGAAAACATCTGGAAAAGAAACATGATATAGTATTAGAATTCAAAATTCAGTTTTTAAAATAAATATAGATATAGATCATGTGGGAATTCAAAAGTAGGTTATTTGTAATTTAACTGGAAACCACTTAGTCCTCTAGTGTTTAATAAACATTTCTGCTGGGAGGATTACTGTTCGAGACACACTTATTTTAATTATTTGGTATGCTGACTCCAGCATCATTTATTCACTCTAGGCATAAAAAAATAAGTAAAATATCTAACATGGGTTTGGCTCTCCCCTTTTCTCTTTGAAGAGTTCATGTTCCCAAAATAAGTAGTCTTTATAACTCTTTCAGACTGCAGTTAATTAATTATCTTCATAGTTGGAACACATTAACTCTTTCCTGTTTATAACAATTACTTGTAGAGCGATATTCTGGCTCCACATCCAATTTCATTTGCAAATTGATTAGCAAGACTTTTTCTGAAATCTAATTCTGTAGTGCAGCTGGCATACAGGTAGCCTTTCCTACAGAAGGGTGACAGCAATAGTTTATACCGACCATAACGCTTATATCATTAGGATGATAGGACATATCTGATCATGTGAAGCTGCTCAATGATTAAAGTTGGAGGCCTGAAAAGAGGTGAATCAGAAAAGAACTGCCTTATGTAAACCATTACTCTTCATACTTCTAAGTGTCCTCTTCGAAAACATTTTTCAGCCATTGCTACCAGAACTACTCAGAAATTATTAAACTCCCTTTGCTAGTGAAGTTAAATTTTGATATCAACTATACTGTCATTTAATCTTTCTTTACTCTTTCGTTAAAATGGCTTCCCAAGTCCTGGACTGCCCATCTCCTGTATGATCCACTTTGCTTCTGTATTATCCTGCACCTGCTTTCGCACCAGTGGACTTGAGGCTATGCTGACAAATTCTTCCAGGGCCTGAACAGTTCTGATATCCAAGGCATCATTCACCCATATAATACATTCTCTGTGTAACCCTATGATTCTTGCTGATATGATTTCCATTAAGAGGGATTCCTTCTCCCTTCTCCCCACTAAGGTAACTCATAACTATTTTGAACTTGCTTAATAAGTTCACTACCACAATTATTCCTGCCGCCTACTATTCCTTTCCTTCCTCTTAGCTTCTGTACACAGTGTATGCCAAAATGAAGACAGTCTTTAAATTCAGTAAAAATTTTGAGCACCTACTCTGTGCTCATGTTTATGAGGCAACTCATACGTTATTTCATTTAATGCACGCAACACTCCTTAAGAGAGATTATTAACCTCAGTTAACTGATGAGGACTTTGGGATTCAGGTAGTTAAATCACTTACCCAAAGGCGCAAAGTCTAGCAGGGGCAAAATGAGAGTAGAACATAAATTTTCTGGTTTCTTAAAGGGCCTCAACTACTCATAATTGATCCCCTAACTTTTTATATTGCCTATTCATGCTATACTTTCTAAAATATCACTACCAAGATTATTTTTATTGCTGATTTAATTTTAAGCCATTAAATTTTCTTAAATATCTGCATTTGAAATACAAATGAAGATTTATTTATATAAAATATAGACTTCTTTGTGTAATATGCAAATAAAGATTTATTTTATTTCCAAAGCCCTAAAAATTGCCACTATTGCAAAATATCCTTTACTTAAGGTTTGCTCCTTATCATTTCTGCATCTTCTTGAATCTCTCAGAGCTTTTTATCCTCCTTTCCATACTTGGCACATTCAGTTAGCACATACTAATCTGTTTCCTGAAGTTTCCCCTTTCCAGCTTCCTGCAACTCTCCCTAGTTTGAAACAGAAAAGTATTTCAATTTCATGTAAAAATTTTTAAAGGCAATTACAGTATATAGTCCTGCCAAAAATAATAAATAATATTCACTTGCTATCATGTGCCTTTTATAAAACTCTGTATAATTTCTGGTAAAAAAAAATATATTACCTGAAAAGAAAACAATAACACCTTAGCATGGCACAAATGTCATATAAACCAATAAGAAAATATGCTAAAATATAAAGATAAAGAACTCACACTGAATCCACAAGTTTCCTGACTAGAGAAATCACATTCATTCTTCTTGGTTTTTCCTGTTTCTTTGTCTTTTGTTCCACTTTTGTATATGCTGTCTCTGGTGAATAAGAATGTGTGGGGATTTCTTCCTTCCCTACAATGAACCTAAAGAAAAGACTACAGTGTGAGGCATTTTTCACCTTTAAATTAAAAAATCAATGAGAAATATCTAATTTTGTTTATATATAAATAAACTTTGGAAAGTACCTCATCATTTGAAATATTTTTCACAATTTATATAAAAATCCAATCATCCTTTTAAAAATAGGCTTTTGAAATCTGAATACTCAGAAAATGTTAGTGGTCATTTGCTTGACAATGCAAGTATTTTAAAATTAAATTAAGTAAAATATAGCAGGGCACTTTTATAAAGCATTTTTTAACTTAGGTCACCACTTTTTACAAGGTATTACACATCTTAAAGTTTTCTCCAACAAAGAAGCTGATGAACTATTAACTTAGATCTACTAGTTAATGACAAAAACTCAATTTTTCTCTAAAATCTGCAAATAATTATAATTGAATGAGTTTATAATTTTTTTTACTCTAAATTTATATCTAATGTCACTTGAAACAGCTGCAGTGCAATAGAAGGCCATCTATATATACATGAGAAAATAAAGAATGAGAATCAGAAAACGGTCAGTTCCATGTATCTTCATATTATATCATCAGAAAATCTTAAATTCTATGCTATTCTAATCTTACTTCTTTTTGGAAAAAACCTAATACCCAGGAGAAGACACCTATCTCATCAAAATGCAACTATATTTTTCCAAAGACAATACAAAGAAAATGTTACCACCATTAGATATCACTCAATCAGTATCCTTAATAATTTTTGCTATTTGTACCTTCATGATAAAAGTTGTTGCTCTTATAAAGATAACTGAGCTTTCCTTAGGGAACTGTACCTGTTCAATTTTCAGAAACTATCATAAAATATAGATAAAACAAGGGATCAATAATACTACATTAATGGGACCTCTGACAAACAGAAAAAGACAATTTAAACATTCATAAAAGAGAGAAACAAACAGCTGTTACTATCAGCGAGTCCAACTCATCCACTTGGACAAACTTGGTAAAATATCTAACTTATAAAATATCTAACATAAAATTATGTGCAATGAGATTGTCACCAGGTGGCAGCTGTACATCCTTGATGTAAATGTAAGTCAAAAAGAATCTGGTTCTTAATCATTGGTGTGTTTGGAGAGTTCAAGATCTATACTATGCTCTTTACAAACAAGACAAAACTATGCTAGAACAGATAAAATATCTCTCACACATTTTGTAACACTGTTGCTATTTTGACCAGACTGACTACATCAGATTAAAGGTCACTTCCGTGGTGAAGCTGTCCCTGCCTCAAATTAAAGTGAGTTAACAATCCTTCTGTTGTATTCTCATAGCCCAAAGAACTCCCAGTACTGAAGCACCTTTTTAGTAGTTTACATTCCACTAAATGGTAAGGTCTGTGAGACTATGCATATCTTCTTTGCTATTATATCTCGATGCTTAGCATAGGGTCTGGCAAATAGTAAATATTTAGTCAACAAACACTGAATAAATAGAGTTATAATTAGCATTTTATGAGAATTTACTGACAGGCACAGTACTGAGGCTTTTACATAATTTCCATGAGAGTGAGCATGAAAAAGTATCTTATCCATAGCCAATAATATCAGTAATCATTTGGACCCAGAACTGTCTGACTCTAAAGCCTGGGTACTTAATGACCAAGTTATGGACCCTTCTTCGATCATAGCTTTAAACTATGATGAAGCAGGCTTGGTATACCTTCAGACACTCACAATGGCTTTCCCCATGGTTTTGTCCTTGACGCTATCTATTCCCATAACTTCTACTATTATCTGTACAGAATTAGCAAAAATTGATAGCCATTTTTCCACATTATTTTCCTATAATACAAAGGAAAATATAAGTGCAAATCATCCAAATCAACCCTTTATAAGTTTATTTGAAAAAGAGACACAAAGACCTACAACTAAGATCACTCTACCCAGCAAGGCTATCATTTAGAATTGAAGGAGAGGTAAAGAGTTTTCCAGACAATAAAAAGCTAAAGGCGTCTGTAACCATTAAACCAGTATTTCAAGAAATGTTAAATGGATTCTTTAAGTACAAAAGAAAACATCAAAAATGTGAATAAGAAAATATGAGAAAAAATTCTCACTGATGAAGCCATATATTCAGTGAAAGCAGTAAATAAACCAATTATAAAGCTTGTACAAAGGTTAAAAGGCCAAAGTAGAAAGATCATGTGTAATGACAACAATAAATTAAGGGATACACACATGCACACACACACACACACACACACACACACACACACACACACACAAAGTAAAAAGGAAAAACAAAAACATAAAGGTGGAAGAAATGAGCAAAAATTGTAGTGTTTGAACTTAAGCCTCATCAACTTAAAGTAGACTGCTGTAAACATAGCTTGTTATATATGAAGCACATAATAACCATGAACCAAAAGCCTACAAGAGATATACAAGAAAGAAATCCAAACATGACACCAGAGAAAGCAACATACAAAAGGAGAGCATGAGAATAAGAGAAGAAGAGATAAAAACTAGAAAGCGATCAGAAAAAAAAATTAATACAATGGCAATAATTACTTTAACTGTAAATGAACTAAATGCACCAATCAAAACAAATAGGGTGGTTAAATGGGTGAAAGAAATAAGACCCATACCTATGCTGCCTACAAGAGACCCACTTGAGATTGAAAAACACAGAGATTGAAAGTAAATGGATGAAAAAGATACTACATGCAAATGAAAATGAAAAGAAAGAGATAGGGGAGCAATACTTATATCACACAAAATAGACTTTAAAACAAGGGCTGTAACAAGATAAGGAAGGGCATTTCATAATGATAATGATAATGATAATAATAAAAGGATCAATCTAAACGAAAGGATATAATTCTCATAAACATCTGCACACCCAACAAAGGAGCACCCAAATGTATAAAGGAAATATTGATGAACATTAAGGGAGATATTGACAGTAATACAGTCATAGTAGGAGACTTGAACACCCCACTGGCATCAATGGATAAATCATCCAGACAGAAAATCAACAAGAAAATAGCTGCCTTAAATGACACATTAGAATAAATGGCCTTAACTGATATTTTTAGGACATTTTACCCCAAAGTAGTAGAATATATATACTTTTCAAGTGCACATGAAACATTTTTCAGGACAAGACACATGTTAGGCCACAAAACAAGTATCAATAAATTTAAGAAGACTGAAATCATAACACATAGCTCCAGTAACATTGGTATAAAACTAGAAATCAATTATAAAGAAAAAAAAAAACAGAAAAACACAGAAATACATAGAGGCTAAACAACATGCTATTAAATAATGAATGGGTTAACAACAAGATCAAGGAAGAAATCAAAAGATACCTTGACACAAACAAAAATGAAAACACAAATATATAGGACACAGCAAAAGTAGTTCTAAGAAGGAAATTCATAGCAATACAGGCCTACATCAAGAAACAAAAACCTGAAATAATCTAACTTAAACCTACAAGAACTAGAAAAAAGAACAAACAAAGCCCAAAGTGAATAGAAGGAAGGAAATAAAGATGAAAGCAGAAATAAATGAAATAATATAAAAAAAAAAATAGAAAAGATCAATGAAACCAAGAGCCGGTTCTTTTAAAAGATAAGGAAAACTGATAACCTATAGCCAGACACATCATGAAAAAAAGAGAGAGGACTAAAGTAAAATCAGAAATGAAAAAGAAGTTTCGACTGACTTACAGAAATACAAAAAATCATCAGGAATTACTAGGAACAATTATATGCCAACAAATCGGACAACTCTGGAAGACATGGATAAAATCCTAGAAACACACAATCTTCCAAGGCTGAATCAGGAAGAAAGAAAATCTGAACTATTAACAAAATCAAATCAGTAATCAAAGAACTTCCACCAAACAAAAGCCCTGAACCAGATGGCTTCACAGGTGAATTTTACCAAACATTCAAAGACGAATTAATACCTATCCTTCTCAAGCTATTTTAAAAAATTAAAGAGGAGGGAAGGCTCCCAAACTCATTTTATGAGGCTAGTATTACCCTAATACCAAAACCAGACAAAGGCACTACAAAAAAAATATAAGCCAATATCCTTGATAAACATAGTTGCCAAAATCCTCAACAAATATTAGCAAACCAAATTTAGCAATACATTAAAAAGATCACACAACATGATCAAGTGAGATTTATTCCTGGCACGCAAGGCTGATTCAATATCCGCAAGTCAGTTAACGTGATACACCACATAAAAAAAATGAAAGATAAAAATCATACATCATATCAACAGATACAAAAAAAAGCAACTGACAAATGTCCAACATTCATTTATGATAAAAAGTAAAGTAGAGGTAGGGAGAACACACCACAACATAATAAAGGCCATAGATGCCAAACCCAAGGCTAACATTATACTCAATAGGGAAAAGCTAAAAGCTTTTTCTTTAAGATCAGGAACAAGACAAGATGTTCGCTTTCACCACTTTTAAAGGAAGTCCTAGGTAAAGCAATCAGACAAGAAAAAAATAAAAGGCACCTGAATTGAAAAGGAAGAAGGAAAACTGTCATTATTTTCAGATGACATATTATACATAGATAACATAGATAACAGTCCACCAAAAAACTATTAGAATAAATTAATTCAGTAAGTTAGCAGGACAGAATTCAAAAAGATATATGTACCCCTATGTTCACTGCAGCAATAGCCAAGATATGGAAGCAACCTAAGACGAATGGATAAAGAAGAGATAGTACATATATACAACAGACTATTACTCAGCCTTAAAAAAGAATGAAATCTTGCCATTTGCAACAACATGGATGGACCTATTATGCTAAGTGAAATAAGTCAGATAGAGAAAGACAAATACTATATGATTGCACTTGTATGTGGAACTAAAAAACAAAATAAACAAACAAATAAATAAACAAAACTCATAGATACAGCAAACAAATTGATGGATGCCAGATGGGAATGGGGTTGGGGGTGGGAGGTGAAAAAGGTGAAGGGATTAAGAAGTAAAAATTGTCAGTTATAAAAACAGTCATGGGGAGGTAAAGTACAGCATAGGGAATATAGTCAATAATATTGTAATAACTATATATAGTGACAGATGCATATTAGACTTATCAGGGTGATAACTTCGTAAGTTATTTAAATATCTAATCACTATGTTGTACATCTGAAACTAATACTGTATGTCAACTCTAATTGAAAAAATTTTTAATTAAAAAATAATGACAATAATAGTCAACACTTCTTGAGCCCTAGATGGCAAGCCCAGTTCTAAAAACTGTTTATGCATTAACTCATTTGACCCTCAAAATAATCTGATAAGACAATCATATAAAACCTTCTCCTGGTACTAAAGCCCACCCTAATTTTCTCTCCTATATTTGCAGTAAATATCACACTACTAATCTTTGCTAAGCATCTAGTATATGTACTTTAGAGCAGAAAATAAGTAACATTTATGACATGAACTGGAAGAGCACTGGGTTTGGAGTAAGTACATATAGTCATTACATGATGTTAAATTATTATTCAAACATTCTAAGCCTCGGATTCATCATGTCACATGAGCATAAAAACATCCATCCCACGTACTGGTGAAAATTTAGTTTTCTAATCTACATAAAACTACTTGGTGAACTACAAAAATACAATGCTAACCAACATTTCTACATATCTATCATGTAGCAATTATTGTGATAAGACATGGGCTCTGAGGTATAGAGAAGACTCTAGTTACTCCAGTGAAGCTTATAATCCAAAATGTGTTTGACATTGCACAAAGTCCTACTGTAAGGAAGCCCACAATGACCGCACAAAGACATGAGCCCAGGGCTGAGGGAATGCCAGATGGCCAGGAGGAACTCCAGATTAGCTGACCACAAGAATGCCACCACCCCATCACCCCTTACACAAAAATTTAGAAATAGCTGACTATTATCTCTCTTCTAACTATTTACTTTCATACACAGATGTCGAAACCACTATTTCACATCCGGAACTGATAATGGTTTGACTGCTATACAACTTTCCGGGGTGGCAATAATGAGCAGTCTACCATGCTGCCCCACAGCACTGGTGTGAACATGGTTATCAGGCAATGTAAAGACAAAGAAAGCCATACACTTTCAAAAAGCCCACCTTTTCGGACAAACCCATTTGTCCCCAGCTTATAAAAGTAGCCAAACAAAGCCAAACTGAGTCAGTCGGGAGGACCTTCCTTTTCTCTGCACTGCCCCCCTTGTGCTAGAGCAGAAGTCTCCAACTCCTGAACCGTGGATCAGTACCAGTCCATGGCCTGTTAGGAACCAGCCATACAGCAGGAGGTGAGTGGCAAGCAAGTGGGCGAAGCTCATCTGTATTTTCAGCTGCTCCCTAGCGCTAGCATCACCACCTAAGCTCCACTTCAGATCATCAGGCATTAGATTCTCATAGGAGCCCTGGTCCCTGGTGCCAAAAAGGTTGGAGACCTCTGTGCTAGAGCATAAAAACTTAATAAAATTTGTCTGGGAATTTTTCTGGGGTTTCCTATAAACTTCTATTTGGGGGAACCCAAGAGCTGAAAGCCAGTAACAATCAGGTATCACACCATTAAGCAATTTTCCAGTAATTGTTCATGTGTAGCTTTGTCTTTCAAAGCTCCCTAAAAAGAATGTTCTGGCAATCCTTTTCTAATATTCCATGATATAAGGCACATCATAGGCCCCCAAATTAGTTGTTGACTGATTTTTAGGGGTGGGGGGAACCTAACAAATTTTTCTTATAATGAAATAGTCAGAAAGTCACTTTTGTTACTTCTAAAATTACTTTCAGCTAAAAAACTGAGTCAATAAAAACTTGTTATAATTATGCATAATGATACTACTTTTTAAGAAAAAGTTAACTCACAAATTCTGTTAACATAAAGGTAAATAAAATATACTACTTACCTAAGTGCGGAAAATGTAAATCCTTTCAAACCATCTTTACACCTAAAACGAAATAAAAATTTACAATAATTAAATTATATGTTTGAGATATAAAGTAGTATTAGTAGCATATTAAATAGCTATTAAAATTTTTCTGAAAATGATCATTTTTCACAGGTGAAACACTTTTAGGACAATGATCAGAGCAGTACAAATGGCCGAACAACAAAGAATGAAGCAAGCCATCTTACACAAAATGATTAACATAATAAGGTTTTCTTATGTCACTTTAACATAATTTAAGGCTCAACTCTCAGATTTGCAGGTTGAAGAGAGATTCAAGAACATCTTCTAAGGGTTCCATGAAGACTTAAAATGAAGGCTGAGAGTGGAGTATTCTTCATTCTACTCAAACCATGGGGAAGCAATTTGTTCTGAAGGAAAAGGCCACATACACCTGCTGGGTATTATGTATAGGTCAATTCAAGGTCCTGACTTCCTCCTACTTATTAATTCAGTGAATGAAGAGCAGTATCGAGTTGGCAGGCAAAATGAAGGCTTTAAGTTTAGTTCAACAGTTTTAACTTCTGAGTAAGCCCAATCAGATAACATAGCATGGGGAATAGGGTAGGAGTAAGGGAAGAGCAAAGAAAAGGGATCCCAAATAATATCTGAGTGTTTACCATTGCTGGGCATTGTTTGGGGGCTTTATATGTGTTGTCTCATTTAATTATATCACAACTCTCTGAACAGGTATTTCTCTATTTCACAGTTGTGCTGAGGGCCCCCAAAGGCAGCAACTTCCCAGAAGTCACAAAATAAATAGCAGTCAGAATTCAGGGGAAAAAAGTTCAGCTGATTTAGAAGCTGTGATTTTCTCTTATACCTCTTCCTAAAAGAGTATATTCCTTTTAATGAGGAAAGACTCAAAATACATGGCAATCAAAAAAAAAAAAAAAAAAAAGATTTTCAGATCTACAAAAACTATTTTAACAATATTTTTAAATGGAGACAGACATTACTGGTCTAAACAGCCTGCTGTATAGGTATGATCAAGGTACCAAAGAATCTTTTAGGTATCTAGTATCAAAATCCCTTGGAGAAACTATAAAAATAGGTGATATAATAATGCTCTAATATATATTAATATTAGACATGGGATATTCTTGAATAAAAAGCACAGCCTCAAGTCTAGTTGGGCAATTCTCTCTAAATATCTTTTATATAAAAAGTCACAAAAAATGCACAAAAAATATAGGAAATCTATCTTAATTTCAAATATATACATTTTTAATGGAGGACACATAAAATCTCAGAAAAGAATTTAATCCAAGTGCACAGAGATATTTTAAAACACTTAACAATTAATCGCAATTAGCAACATGATCTTCTTTGTGGTCATGTAAATAGTGAGAAATGTAACCAGAAAATTCAGCTAATATAGTACATAATTATCTACTCTCAGAAGAATGAGGGTAAAGAGAAAATAATTCATATGTTAAGCTAAAAATGTGCATGGGAAAATTCTAGCATTAAAATTATTAAACTTATCTTTTTCATCTGAAGAAAGTGTTTCTCAGTAATTTAAAACTCATAATTGGGTAATTTCTAGATAGGTGTGGTGAGGGAGTAGGAGTCTATTGACTGGAAAACAGAAAGCAGCAGATTGATTAAAAGATTATATACCACTGGGAACAAATTTTGGCTTCAATATATAATTGTCAAAAGATAGCTATTTATCTTTGTACAATGCTGAATAGATAAAGGATTCTGACAACTTGGTCTAGTTGGGATAGCATATTTGTGAACTTAAACAATAAATCTAATTGCAGACCAAACATCAAAAAGTAGCTTTCAAATATAAAAGGGCATATACAAATGAATTTGCAATTTCATTATGATGGAAGTTTGGTTCTTTCAGCAGAACCCTGTGGGAAGCACTTCATATTGATAAAGTCTTAGCATGGATTCAAAAGGAGCTATTCTTTTTTCCATTCATGTGTATAAGGTCTGTTAATGTAATTGAAGGTCAGATGCCTATGTCAAAAGAACAAAAAAGTAATTATTCTCACAAAAAGAACCTTTAAAATAGTAATAGTGTCTTGCATTTTGACACCAAGAGTACTGTCTGAGCCTTAACCCAACTATGAAACACTATTGTAATCTGTGTTAAATGTAACAAAGCATGAGATAAAAATAAAGTTTATACAAGGAGACCCCATTAGAAGGTACCTCACTATTCCATGGATCCTGTTATTATAATGTAAATTAAATCACATTCTCCATTCATGTATTAAGGCTCGCTGATTTATTCAACAAATATTGACTGAGTGCCTAATATGTGTATGCACTGATTTAGGTTCTAAGAATGTAACAGTGAACAACAGAATCCCTGCTTTTACACAGCTGACATTCTAGGTTGGGGAGAGATACAATAAAAAAAAAAGAAAAAGAAAAAGAAAACATGTCATTGATAATAACTGCTATAGCAAAAAACAAAACAGAATAAGGGGAAAACAGTGATGGACCCAGACTTTATCATTTTACATAGTGTGGTCAGGAAGGGCCTCTCTGAGAAGATGAAATTTGGTAATTTGATCAGAAACATTAGTGACTTGAGGAAAGAGCATTTCAGTTTGAAGGAAGAGCAAGTACATAGCCCATGATGGGGAGTCTGCATAGCTTGTAAGGAGGACAGCAAGTAGATTACTACAGCTGGAAGAGATCAGGGAAGGGAAATGGTGGTAGAAAATGAGGTCACAGTATGGTGGGAGAGAGTGGTCTACAATTCCTACAGAGCCCTTTAGCCATGGTAAGGACTGTGGAAGGTTCTCAGCAGTGGAATGACAAGATAGGTTTTAAATTTTAAGATAATCACTTTGACTGCTAGTTGGAAAATGGACTACAGGAGGGCACAGTTAGAAGCATGGAGGCTAATTCCAAGGGGAAAGATGATTGTGGCTTGACTAGATCATAGTGGTAGAGGTGAAAGAAATGGTAAGATTCTAAAAGATTTCAAAAACAGAGTTGGCTAAATTCCTTGACGGTCTGAATGTGGGGTACGAGCAAACACAAGAATTTACAAATTATTGAAATATTGTCAGTTTAAGCAAATGGAAAGATAAAATGTCCATTTACTGAAGTGAGGAACACTTTGGGTTTCAGGAGAGGCAGTAAGTGTTGATAGAGAAAATATCCAAAAACTGAATATGTTTTATTTCTGCATAACCTATAGTACAGAAAATTTCTATAGAAGAAAAATTCATTTCTCCTCCTAATAAAAATACCTTCTAATATTGTCTCATTTTTAGAGTATGCATAAAGATAACGCATTTAACTCACGTATACATTAACTTTGCTATTAAAGTTAGTCTATGCAAATGACAAAAATAACTAGTATGATTCAATCTATAGTTACTGAATCTTTCCACATCTGCAAGGTTATATGCTATGTACGATATAAAACAAAGCCAGGGGAGACAGAGAAAAAAGAATTTGTAGCATTATATCAAAAACCTTAATCACTTCTCAGTCTTTTGGCTAAGATCAAGTGTAAAAAAACAGCAAATATACAACTCCCAAATTCCAAATTCCACTTGGAATTTAAGACTATGTACAAGAAAGTATAAAGAAGCTTAATGTTATTACTAGAATAATATTCTTGGTCAGATGTCAATGTGAGGAACTCACAAAGACAAAAAAAATTTTCAAGTAGAAGTGTAATGCTAGTAATAGTAAAAGAAACAATTTTGCCTACAAAGATTCTTTATCTTATGCTTAATTTCTGTGAAATTACTTCAATGAGATACTTTTATCTCTACTACATTATACCAGCAGATGTCACTAGTAAACCATTTTTGGAAGAATCTGAGCTCTTTGATGTGTTTGCTGTATCAAATATTTTGTTGTATGTTTTCCCTTAAAAATATATTTATAGGCATTCAAACTGCTGCTAATTTTAATCAAATTGCATTAACTTCCCCGATGTAATTATAGCAATATTAGACTTTTAATAATAGGTGATTTCCTGTTCTGTAAGGGGTTAGAATTTGTCACACCACAAGAATACCTTTTGGTCAAATTGGTTGTTTTTTCTTTTTCTTCTTTTTTATTTTAATTGAGGTAACATTGATTAATAATATTATATAAATATCAGATGTATAACATTATAATGTTGTATCTGTATATTCTACTGTGTGCTCATCACCAAAAATCTAGTTTTCTTCTGTTACCATATATTTGACCCCCTTTACCCAATTCACCCTCCTCCCCACCCCACTTCCTCTCTGGTAACCATCATTCTGTTATCTCTGTCTATGAGTTTGTTTTTGTTATTCCTTTGTTACTTTTTGATTTATATTCCACATACAAGTGAAATCATATGGCTATAGAAAGTGGTCAAAAGATGTAACTCAAAACAGTTGTTAGTAAGCTATCTATTGAAGTAAAATGGGTGAAGAGGCATGAAAAAAGAATATAACTTCTTACTCTCTATATTATATATCATTTTTAAATCTTTACAACTATATATTTATATATTATTTGTATAGTTTAATTAAAAACATCAATAGAACATTTAGGAACAGATTAAACAGTATAAAAGGTATTCGTCTTTATTTCACCAACATAATGGCAGAGAATGTAAAACTCAAACAAGGCAACTTTACTAATTAATACTGCTGTAAAGTTGTGACAGAAGGCATAAAATTGCTAACTAAAATAAACAGTTTAGGCTAGAATTTTCTGAAACTATGATCCCAATAAACATGGATAATTAGGTGATTACAATCATTTTAAAAAATTCATTAAGTATAAATTTCAGAAATCTTTTGTATTTTTTTGCTCACTGAATTGGTTAGAAGGAAACTCAAATATTGGTTAAATGTCACGTCATCTATCTTTCTTCACTCAACAATCATTTTTTGAGCACCTAATGTACAGAAGACACTGTGCTGCCAATCACTTGAGGAATGCAAAGATAAATTATATACTATATCGGACCATAAAAAAATATACAAGGTGTCTGCAAAGTTATCTGTATGTCAAATAAATGAAAATAACCT